CAAAATTTTGATTTTATTTGAAAGTAAAGACTGAAAAATTATGTGTTTATATTTAAAATATTTTAATTAAAGCAAAGGCGACTATGAATTAAAAATTATGGTTCTGCGTGAGTCACGTCGAATATCTTTGTCGGTGAGTTAAACACAGACTAAATTTCAATTCTAATAAAACGAATTACAGCTGCGCGTGCATTCGCCTCCTTTTCATTCTAATCTACGATCGTTTAATTTTCCTGCAGTCCCCTGTTTAGCATGTAGATTGAAAATACAACATGAAAAAGCAGCAAGAGCCAGACGGTGCTGATTTTATTCCGTCGGTCGAAGGTACCGAGGGTCAGTCGGTAATTGGATTGGAAATTAGAAAACGATCGCCAAGGCACCCTTCGCCTGAGGGCGGTGCATTTATGTCTCTCCTTAGGTGGAATTTCTCACCTGGGAAGACTCACGCAGGTTGCATCTCTTCTCTGCGGTCACTTTTGTGATTTATCTCCGGTTTGAGCGGCAATTTTCGATTCTGACCGCTCGGCTGGTGATTTATTGCTGGGGTGACCGGTGATTTTATGATAATTGCTGAGCGTGGCCGATATGAGCGCATTATACTTTCGGCCAAACTCAGCGGTCTGCACCATTTATTGCCCTCCTCGGGCCAACCGCCGGTGTAATTGTCCCTTGGCCGTGCTTTGTTGTTTTGCCTGTCCAGTGGCCATTATGCGCGCAGCTTCATTTTTCCCTTCCAGAAGGGAAATTTAATGCTGATTATTAATTCCAGAGATTATTTTCATAAACGCTTGTCGCGTCATTTGGTGGAGGCAGTTTGATTTATTTTTGACAAGGAGGAAAACTTGGAGTTGATTAAATTTGCTCGTGAGCAGGAAAAACTCCGACAAAATTATTATTCAAAGTCACAATGTGAACAATGCGGAATGCTATTTCGGTAGAAATTTTAATATCCAAATATCCTAAGTTGATTCTATATATAAAAAAAGTAATAAAGAAAATTAATTTTCAATTTAATATCGCAATTTTTACATAAAAATGTAAAATGTATTAATGGTGGCACCAGTTGGTAGAGATTGACGTACACACGATGCAAATAATAAATGGAAACTCAACCTGCGCTACTCAAATGGATAGTTTCTTTTGTTATTTATAATAGCCAGTTATATGAAGGGTTGCGATAAAATAGTAATTTTTTTATTATTATTTTCTTTCTTAGAATCAGTGTAATGAAAAGGAATTGTTTCTTAATTTAACTTCATTCTTCAAAGAATTTCTTTAACTTCTGAATCATTTATTTAAGGTGTGTAAATATGTATTTTGATGAAGGGTAAGAACATGCACAAAAACGCTTTGAAAAATGTAATAATCAATAGATTTAATGTCTATTTATAGAAGTGTTATTTTTTATTTTTTTATTCAGAATTAATACCTCAAATAAATTTCTGGCTCCAACTCAAAATATTACTTGTCAATTGAAAATCTTACTAATTTAAAAACAGCTTAAGATTGATCTGATTGGTGTCAAACAAATAAAATTCCTTGCGAACAAAAGTGTGATTGATGCAATCCAATTAGGCATTTTAGCATTAAAAGCCTCGCGTGCCACGCAATTTCAGCACAATCAGCTTTGTGTGCGTCTATACATGTCCATTCTAGAGGGAGAAAAATCGCAGGAGCGACGGAGTGCCATCCATTTATTTGCTCTCGGGCTGGTGGGGAGAGCGGCAGTCGATGGCCGAAATTAGTTATTGTCGTGCCGGACAGAAAGGGTTGAGATTGATTGGCGGTGTCGCCGTCGAGCGAAGCCCACCTGAGGCTTTTTGCGCGCGCCATTCAATTACAAATGTTTGCAGAACAGATCGTCCTCCATCATCGCCAACCGTCCCACTAAAAACTGGCTGTTACTCACCCCCTTAAAACTCTCAGCACACATGCATATAACCGCCCCCATCTGCAAATATATTCGCACTTTTTTCGCACGGGCTGTTGAAATAAAATGGCAACGAGCTTCTGCTGGAGGAATTTAATCCCATCAATCATTCTTGCTCGTTTTAAATATTTCTTTCTTACGTCTACGGTGATTATGAATTAATTTAATGAAAACATTCTCGCTCATTCTCGTGCCACGCGTAATTAAATTCGAATTTAAGATTTCGGCCACGATTCGTTAACGATTGCGATGGTAGAACCGAATCTACCACCCCGGTACCTTGCAGCACAAAACACCAAAAACACATTAGGAGCTTTGGCTGCGTCAACTTTTTTCCCGGGGGCTGACATCAAAAGTGTTTGTCACCCCGGGTTTAGTCCATATATGCGATCGTGCGAACAGACAAGGTTCAATTGAAAATTCAATTGCAGGCTGGCACGGCATAACGCAATTACACCTGGCAAACATCAAAGATTTCCCTGCAGGGCCTATGCTTAAGAATACGCAGCAGTAAAATGACCTGCCACAGAGTGAATTGAATTTGCAAAACTATGAATGACAATGTGGATATAGATTTTAATGATGTATTATTCATGTTACTGTAGATGTTTTTTATACTTTAATTGTTTATTAATTTATTATGTTCTGTATACACATATACGATACCTGTTTGCATATTTTTTTGATGTTCAAACGTCTGGCAATATTTGCATGTCTCTTAATTTTTTGAGATTCTTTAGAGCTCAAAATCCACTTTTCTAGTTTCTTATCAACAATTTTACAACGGGATAAAAAGACACAATTGTCACGACTAGCGAGTTTCCAAGGCATTAAATTTAAATTACGCATCAAACGTCAAATAATATAGAATCATTCTGAACGTTCAAAAATATAATAGAAAATATAAAATAAGAAGAAATTCATAAAACTTTTCTTGAAAATTCATATATTTGATAATTAAACGTTTAAATTTATCTTAAAATCATATCATATTTACATAATTTATACATACAAATAAAAGTTTTTCACTCAAAATTTACTCAATTAATAATTTAGCAAACTTGCCTAATTTACAGATGGGCAACCATCTCAATAATTATAGTTTTGCCCAGTTTTGCCTTTACTTTGAGCTATATCAGTTCAAAGCCAAAGCCTTCTGTGCAAACTGGATGCACCGCCAAGTGGGAAGATTTGCTTCCGTTTTCACGGAGAATATTCTAACCCCAGAGCAATTTGTCCTCCTTGATGTGGCGGAGCGGCCGGCGCAAGAATAAATCCCGGGGCCAAGTAAGTCATTCCGATTTTCTGCCCTGATGGTCATCTGGGCGTAAGTTGATTAAGGGCGGATTACCTTGGTCAATTTCAGCCCTGAGTAATCAAAGCGCGTGGCCTCTCGACCGCCCCGAGTCCAGTGGCTCAAAAGGCATATTAAACACACACGTTTTGCCGCCGCACCCTCTCTCTCCAGCCAGTCGCCTCCGTAATAGCGCAAAACTTAATTTGATGTTATCATTAATTTCGGCCCGGCAAAAATCCACGAGAGCGGCCCTTTTTCTCCGTCTCCTCTCATTGAGTTTTGTAAATGAACCCATTTCTCTCTTCTCTCTGTTGGCAAAGGAGGAAAAAGTACCACTGCTGCCTGCCGCCTTGTAAATTGGAAATTATATCAACAACTATCTCGCTGCTTTTTCTCCGCCCGCCCGCCCTCTTTTTCCTTTCTGGCTTCTCCGTCTCAAAACTGACGACTTTTCCATCCGGAAACATTTTTAATAAAAAGTGGCGGCGACGAAAAAAAAATCCAGGCCAAACTCACACGCTTGCCTTTTCCACTCTGCTTGTTTTGCTAAATTAGAAAAAGATTATCTGCAGTGATTAAGGGTTATAAATTTTGTCTTTTCATTGCCTTGCTGACCCAAAAAGGAATTAAATTGCATCTAAAAACTTTCTGTCGTTTTAATACTGCGGCAGGAGGTTTGAAGTCTCCTTGCGTGCATCGCGCACACACTTTATGCGGTAGAAATTTCCTAATAAGTGACCTGTCGTCACTCATAAATATTCAGGGGCAAAAATTGGACGGTGCGTGAGTGTGTCTCTTCTGTTTATCTTCTCACTTCGATCTTCCGTTTGCGCAAAGGGTCGTCGACGCGACACGGCAGCCGAATTTCCTCTTTCGAGAGAAGACGACGCGCTAGTTCGAGTGGAAGCGGCCCCCGGAGTTAAATATTACTGATTTCATTATGTCAACAAAATAAATTATCCGCGTCTAGATCTCTCTCTTTTTCTATTTTGAACTGTTTGGGCATTAATAATGCAGCCGTTGAAGTCGGCTCACGTTTCAATTTTCTCCAAACGCCAGAAGCAGCGTGTTAAAACTTCTTCTCATAGCGGATCGATGTGGAAAAAAATGCTTGGTGTTAAAACGAGAAGCGGCTCCTGCTTAACAAGCAGCCGAGTGACAAATAAATAATGACAGCTGCGTTTCTTGGGATTATATAGACAACCTTAAATTATATTCATAACTCTCGGTGTTTGAAAAATGTGCCGGCAAAAAAATTGTGATCTTAATCCTGAGCTGAGAATTTTTCCTTTCCCCCATTTTTTTCAGAGAGGGAGAAGTATTGACTAGCAAAAAGATATTATGTCAATTAATGCAAATGAATAATAACAATAGAATCAACTGTAATCAATGAATAATGTTGTTTTTCACTAAAAATTCAATGAACGCCTAAAAAAACCATCATAAGGAAATTTGTAATTTAAGTTCAAATATCATGTATTATAATCCTTGACCACGAAATTCTTATGCAAAACAATAGGTAAAATTTCGTTCGTCACAATTGAATTTTGAAATGCATGAATCATATCTTGGGTATAATTTTAGAATTAAAAATCAATGCAAAACAATTTGAACACAGAACTATATGGTCTTCTCTTCTTCTAACGATAAGATATTTAACTCAATTTTTATATCTCTAAAGACTGAAAAAACGCTACAACTGACTATAGTTAAGTTTGTCCAAGACAGCAAAAGAAACAAAATCACACTAACTTCAAATATACATGTACGCACCTGTCGTCGGCTACGAGTCAAATCGTGGCCTAACTGACCAGCCGTCGGTGACCTCTTTCACGGTGGTCGTCGCTTCAGCACTTTCGGCGATGATTTTCGGCCAAAATCATCTACGCATGATGCAAACTCTGGCTGATATTGAGAACATGGTCTTGATTTGGAACTTGTGTCACTGTTCATTAGAAAGGCGGCAACAAGAGATTTAAGGGATGTTTTGCTGCAGTATAACAGCATGTCCGTTTATATTCTTGTACACGAACTGAAAGACAAAATTACATACAATCAATATTATGTCAAATTTAGAAATACATATGCAGAAAATTCTAGCATTCCAATTCAGTCATTTTGTGAATCGAGTTTTTGACATAAAATTCTTTTTAAATATGGACAATTCATACACTATTTTGAAGAGTATGTAGCTCATCAGGAAAATTAGAATTATAATGTGAGTGAATGGACTTACCCCTAATTTAGGGGTTTGAGGATGGGGTGAGCCGTGAACAGTCCGGTCAGCGGACTGAAAAACATCGGAAAGTGTATAATGTTATGTTAAATTTTGGTAAATATACAGCTGCCAGCTGCCGTCAAGAAGGTCTTCTTGGCTGCCGTCCGGCAAGTAGTGGCAACCTAAGAAATTTAACCACAAAAGGCGCCAAAAAGTACAGAACACCTTACCATTGCCCCAACTCCCAACTGACAAAAAGGACTGCAGCCTCAATAAAAAGAAGCTGCACACAAGTACAAAAAATAATTCCTCACCCCTTTAAAAATGCTCAAGACAAGGCCGACCGCCGACTAGTACAGAAATGAATTGGAGCGGCTGAAGAGCGAGCTGCAGATGTCTGAAGAGAGAACAGACTTCGGCTAGAGTCTGAAGTTACTCAAGTCAAGGACATGATGAAAAGGGAGGTTCAACATATATACAAATGAAAGGGAGAGGAACGAGGCCATCATAGCAGAGTACAAAAGCAGATTTGCTCGCAACTGAGCCGACGGCTTGAGGAGCAAGTCCAAGCTGGGAAAGACAGAGAACATCAAGTGCATATCAAGATTTCAATAATTTTGTTTTTCACAGGGCCAGCTCTACCCCAAGTTCAAGGGAGATTCTGTTGGCACCTGGGTGGACCCCCTGAGTGTAGATACTGATCCTCGTCTTGCGGTTGCTATTCAACGAATGAGAGAGCTGGAGCTTGAATTGGCCCAGGCCAAATTAGAACATGTAGAGGCAGCGTGTCAAAATCAGGTAGATCTTTCAACCAACTTTAAATTTTTTCTCAGGATCTGATTGTGAGACATCTAGCCAGCTCCAAGCTAAAGATATTATGTTTCCCTCCGTGTTTACTTGCTAGTTAATGACCAATGACTGAGGGCTATTCAATCACAAATAATATATTCCATTATAACTTTTATTAATAGTGCCATGATAGTTAATTAATAAAAGCAAATAGATTTGCTTCTTTATTAAAATGAATGTTATTTTATTCATAAAAAGCACACTTGCATAATTATCAAATTCCGTATTGGTGCTTTTAGTCAAAAATCTTACTTTTTCAGATGATAGATTTTCTACCAGCAGCCATACCCATAGCCTCCGTAATTTCCAAATCCAAATCTGTGAGGGTCAATATCCTGTAAAGATATAGTTTATTTTTCTGCAAGCCAAAATTAAAAAAAAAATCATTACATAGAGCCATTGGGCAGACATATCAAACTCTTGTAGCAAACGTTTCAAATTCTTTCCCTTTCCAACGTGATCTAGAAACTCAATTCCAACAACAGGGGTGAGGTGCTCCTCGATGTAGTAAAATCGCCTCTTATTGTTTGCTTGAAGCTTCTTGATGCTGTCTAAATAAATAACATTTGAATTATAATAAATTCATTTAATGGAAAAAATATTAACTTACCTTCATTTGTGACCACAGCTTTAGTTTTCCTGTCAAAGAAAGTAACAACTCTTCCGCCAAGCTGCAGAATTTTCTCCTTTGCCTCAGGAACACCAATGACAGCAAACTCCATGCCACTCAATGGGCCCTTCTTGACCACAGGCTTGGGTCTGAGATATTATCGTTAATATAATTATTGATATTTCCAGTTGGCTTTTCATTCATACCTTGGTACAAATTCTGGAGCATCAGCATTAAGAGAGAATGAGCAGGTGGCAGTAGCCTGGTCTGGTTGCTTTTTCTCAGCAATGTCAAAGTTGTAATTTTTCCTAGTTTAATTGTAATTTATCTATAGTAAATCAACTTATTGGATAAACACTTCTTACAAAATTTCAAATTCCTCTTTCAATTTCTCTGGGATTTTGAGCCCTGTACGAGGTGGGTCAGAGCTCTTGTAACCACAAACGATCTCATCTTTCATGTTTTGGCATTCAAACACATCAGATCCATCTCTAAAAATAAATAAAATATTTCAATCACAATATAATTAAATGAGAAAATTTCATACTGCTGGATTAGTCCATCCGAGTTGCACTTTGGGCATTTGTCTGGCACACCATTTTTGGCAGCATTGTTTACCAAATCAAGAAGCTATAGTTATTAAATTAATCATATTTAAACAAACTGAAGCTCTTGAAAATTTATACGTGGTTCCTCCTGGCCTGTTTAGGAACATCTTGGTTGTTATGCTTGAGGATGCTTTCATAGTCCTTCATGTTGAGAGCAGCTAATTGCTCAGTCATCTTTTTAAAGCAAAAAGCTTCTATCTTCTTTATCTTCCAACTTCCAGCACCCTTGGCTCTGTCACTTAAAATGAATATGAACAATTTTATTGTTAATGTACGTTATAATAACAATTAATCACTAATTACTTACAGAGTCATTTCAGGCAAAGAGTTCAACAGCTCTTTTTGGTCTTTAGATTTTAGAGCAAAGAATCCAGGGAGGCCCTCGGCACTGTCCCAAAATTCAAAGAAGTCTCTGTTGTTTGCAAAACACTTTACATGGTACCAGCGAGGAATTCCATTCAAAGCTTTGCCTTTGTTGGATGTGTAATCCATCTTAGCAACTCTCACCACACTCTACAAATATTTGTTTTCTTTTAAATGCACTAAAAAATAAGGATATTCCACCTTCTCAATTTTCTCGTGACAGGAGCAGCAAGTGGACCGATTTGATAGGGAGTAGTCAACCATGAACTTTGATCTTTGCCCAACTTTAACTTTCAATCGTCTTGCCCCTTTTTTGGCTTTTATTGGCTTTTTCTTCGGGCTTTCTTCTTCAGCACTGTCCAAGTCTTCATAATTGTCATCTTCGTCATCTGAGACATCTAGCACTTTATTACAAAAAAAATTATAATAAATAGTGTATTACTTTAAAATATTTCTTTTACCCTCACTTGCGGTCTGCTCAGAAATTTCTGGATCTCCCTGTTGAGCTCCAATATTGGCTCGAATATAGGCCTTGTCGTCAGCTTTCAATGATGAGAATTTGGCGATGTCTGCTGTTTTTCCTGGTTTGTGCCTCTTGAAAAAGCAATCCTTGTGGAACCAGTAGGAAAGCTGAACAAAATGATAAATAAATTAATCAAATTTTTTTTTTCAATATTGTGATATTTATGACATTAAAAAATAAAAATAGCAAAAGAGTGAATGCGGCAAAAAATTCTCTAATGGCATTCTTGTAAAATTACCAAAATTACAACACTACTGGTTGGTATGTATGTAAAATATGTATGTGTTAACCTGGGTGCTAATGCTGAATCTCAACAATCCATGTTCAATGCATTCGCCGCAGCCTCTACACTTCGATCTTCCACTTTTCGCATACTCTGCGGAATAAGGGTGGTCCATTGCGCTATCTCGCCTATCTCCTCTGATAACGCAGAAATATACCCTATAGAGACCTTGCAGAACGTTTGGTGGATTTGGGTTTCAAAAGTCTTTAAGGACGGCTCGGCGTGGTCGCTGGACACACGGAAAAACAAACTAAAGCATCAAAGCAAGTGGCGCTGACTGCTGGTTCCGTATTGCCGTCTGCCGAGAATGCGAGAATGCCGAGTGCGAGTGCAATGTGCATTAGTGCCAGTCTTTGAATTTCAAGTTCAAGTCGCGATCGCGCACGGGCGACGGGCGCATGAGGCTGCAAATTTTATCGCCAAAGTGGTGAAAGTGGTCGCCTTCTTCGACCTTCGACTCGATCACGGATCACGACCAAGACAAGGCAGATGAGCCCCCGCCCCGCGAGCGAGCGAAAGGAGGGGGGGGGGGAGTTCTTTGTTTTTTGTCTCCCTCCTCAGCAGTTCCTTCATCGTTTTCGACTGTTCATGGAATATGTAACGTTTTTAATGTTTGCGTTAATTTAGAGCGTAGAAAATTGAAAATTTCAGATTCGGTAGATAATTAATATTGAATAACACGTCAAAAAATTATTTTAAATTGAAAAAAAAATTGCAGCCAAGTTATTTACATTTGTTGTATTTCTCATAAAAAAAAATAAAAAATAAAATTGGAAAATTTTTTAAAATAAATACCCTCATAGAAAAATGCGGTAAAATCTCTATAATTTCTTCCACAAGCTCGATGACGTCAGAATTTATTATTTTTACGTGCTAGCGCTTGCTCGCACAGAAAACCCAAAATAAAATTTAGATTTTTTCTGAACAATTAAAATTTTGATTCTAGAAATCTAATTTCATTGAGAAATATTCAGCCGTTTTTATTTCTAATATTATGTTAAATGGCGCCTCCAACTGCATGTAAAAATGTAAACGATGAGTCGCGCGTTTTGGAAATCAAGCTGTAATTTAAAAACGGCTGGACATATTTTGATGAAATTTGTGTTTCAAGGTCAAAATTAAATAAAATCTACAATCGATTGGCTATCACGAAAAAAATTAAAAAAATTTTAATCAATGAGAATTTAATTAAATTCGGACTTCAATTTAGTTTTTTAACTTTTAAAAATAGAGAATTTTTTTAAATGCACACTTTCAGGAAAAAAACTTTTTCTTTTTGTGCTTTAAAAACTGTCTTTTATTTGAAGCGGAGTTATTAAACTTATTAACGTTTCCGCCAGAATTTGGTTTCAAAGATAGGGGAAAAGTTTTATGAAAAGTTAACATGTACAAAACTAATATTGCAAAAAGTAGCTAATTAAATGTTCTAAAATTTCTTTCATGTAGGCTTCGTTTTCATACACCTAAAGAATGGTCCTGGAATGGTCAAAATAATTTTTTTTTTCTTAAATATATATTTATCAAAAATATTTTAGATATATTCTGAGATAATCGATTGGAAGTTAAAGTTTCACTTTACTGGAACTCAAATTATATCACATTATACTTAAGGCAGTTTTAAAAATAAATAATGAAGTAACTGATGCTGTCTGAAACTGCTGAACAAGCCGAATAGCAAAGTTTAGAACGGAACGGATGCTCCTTTTTTCAAAACATCTACTGCATATATCAGCATATATATTTTAATAAAATTTGACCAAAGTTTGACTGTAGCTGTATCAATTTTAATCTGTTGTGAACAAAAACAATTATGCAAATCAAGGCTCAATCCTTTTTTCACGGCCGTCATTCAGAAGCGTGAAATCTCATTCTGTGTGCACTGTTCGAAATTAATTTTTGTATATTTTCGTTTGCGTAACAGGATTCCCGCCCTACATAATCTTAACGAAGTGGCGTCGGCTGGAACACGTCAAAGGAAAAAGGATGCAACCCGAGGTGCCCCCCGAAAAAGCACGCGACCCCTTAGGCGTGCTCTTAAAAACTCTCGCTCACAATTCAGAGAGAGATTACCTTAATTTAGAATATCGCTAGCGGCGTCCAAGGAAAGGGTTGCTCGAGAGTGTATGGGGGCGACTTTTCTCTCTCGCGCATTAGGGTGCTGCAGTCGATGGGGTGAGATGAGGAAAGGAGACCAATGGAGCGCAGACCGCTCGAGTGAGAGCGTTTCGTTGTTTATGTGCAATGAGTAAGGTGTTTTGCCTCTTGAGTTTCCGAATCGGCTCGAGAGGGAAAGTTCTCTGCTCGTTCTCCCCTTTTTGGCGGCATTTTATACACGAGAAACGATACCACATTAAAGCCGATTAGGCACACTCGGAGGTGGCGATTGCAAATTACACGTTTCCGAAATTGCTGAATTGCGTTTCGCACGTGGCAACAGTGCTGCGAATCAACAAATTAATACCCTCTTTGCTGATGTAGGCGACGTAAAGCACGGAAATTGGGGAATTGGAAGCAAGAGCAAACACGCTTTCTCCCTCAGCGCTTTTAGGTTATTATACAGGGTTTTGAGGCGTGAGGCTCTTAAGAGGGAAATTTAACCTGTAAGTTTAAAAATTATTCTCAACAGGAATTCAAAATAAGAATATAAACAACAAATTAATCTTGCTAAAATTTAACTTATTTTTTTTCATTTTCATTTTGATTATTATTATTTGTAGCTTAATAAGCGACAATAAATTATACAAGCTGAGTAAATTATGTTAAAAAAGCATTCCAAAACAAGCGGTCAAATTCCCTTAAAGGGAATTTAAATCACAAAAAATTATATGTGTATAGTATTAGCAATGCAAAATCATGTAATAAATTTTTTTTGTTTGATGCGTTTTTTTTTGTTTTTTAATATTTTAGTAAAATGATATTATTATTAAAAATTGATTTTAATTTTTACTATGTTTTAATTTCAAATTTTGTAAAAATAAAAAAAAATTAGTTTTTTTCAGTTTTTTCTTTTTTTTCACAAAATATATTATAATTTATATATATTATACTGGTACGCTGCTTACTAACTCTCAGAAATTTGAAATAAATATTTTTCCTTGCATCTTCTTAATTTTTGTAATTCACATTTTGCATTTTTTCTTCAAATCATTAAAAGTACCAAAAAATTTACTCAATATTCCACAACGTTCAAACCAAATAATACTGCACCATGTTTCAAGCATTTCCGAAACGACTGAAGTGCGCGCCGTGTGTGCCCTTAAAGCGCAGTCAAACATGACGCTCCCACTAAATTAGTCTTCCACCGCCGAAATGATCCCACAGCGAATTTCCCCCAATGCAAAACTGCGGACCGATGCCATTAACTGGACGATTTATGGCTGCGAAACATCAAAATTCGAACTCGGGGCATTTCATCTATCTGTGGAAACGCCACAGACTCTCCAGCTGGAAATTCCTCCGCTGTGGCCGAGCTCGACATTTGCATGCAGACAGATTAATATCAAGCGGAAAATTCCACTTTTTCAACCGGCCGTTCGCCGCAGTGGACGACTTTTTCTGCTCACATATCCGTTTGACAAAATGTCTTGGTAGCACCCATTATTCAGAGAGACGTCTTGTGTCACACATACATGCATATCCCTGCGAGAGCGCATCAGTATAAAACACACACGCCGTCTTTGTCATGCAAATCGCCCCCTACATGCAAGCATACACGGTGATGCATGCATATTGTTGGCTGGTGGCAAAAGGGGTTTCGGGTCGCTGTTGCACCATGCACGGGTGGCAAAAAAATAGACACTGGGTGTCAGGAGGAAGGTCTTTTTTGCATGCAAAAGCGATATGGAAAAGCGTGACATGGAAAGTTTTTACAGCGAGCGCAATTTGTAGCCAGGGAGGATTTTTTATACGCCACATGCGAAGCTAAATTCTCAATTTATTGCAAAGATATAACCAAGTTCTAACTGTTAAAAAGCAGCGTTTGAACATTAAATTGCTAAAATCAGAATTTGCGGTACTTATAATTATCATGAACAATTCAAATATTTCACACGCTTTGAGCGAAATGTATCTTAAATTTCAGACAACAACGCTGATAAATAAATTTATCGTCTGTGTGTTCTTATTAAAAAACAAAACTATGTTAAAAAATGCTTATCTTAGAGAAACTAGCAGTAATGGCAGAAAGTTTAATACTTTTTTTATTTTGTGTTTATAGTAACCATTATAAAAATTTTGTTTTCATAATTATGAAAGTATTTTTTGTAAAATCACTTATATTTAGACACTGCTGTTATTGAAGATATATAAAATATAAAACTTCATAAAATTTTTACCAGGCCAAGTGTTCACCCTCCATGTTTACCAAAACGGGGAGAGAAATTAATTGGAAAATGTGCCCCAAAGAGCGCAGTCTGCCTCGAATTTAGCCGTCGTCGCGTACGTGGTTATTACATTTCACATCCGAGGAAAAAATCGAGTATGTGCTGAGAGGCACAAATATACAGGCGGCTAACGTTCCTGCTATAAATAATTTCTCATTTGAGGCACGACGAGAATGTAATTTCCTTTTTAAAAAATGGAACGAGACGAGTCGACGCTGGGAGCTTTGCAGCTCTGGAGGATATGGGACACATACATACACGAGAGCGCAGAAAATCCAGGATGTAAACAGCGAATGAAATGCCAATTCTCGGCGACCGAGTCGGGCAAGACGACTAATCCCACCCCTGCAGTCACCCCATCTCGCCCTTTGATGATGCAAGATGCAATAATTGGATGATCCCGCCGGCGCGCGCTGTATATGTTGCTGTTTTAGTGATGCAGCCCCGGTTCCTCTTCTCCGACCCATACCGTCTGTCCGTCTCTGTCTGATATATTTTCATTGTGTCTGCGCTGCTTTTCCCCTGTGTGCACGCTCTTCGCTCCTAATACACGTCGCTCGCTCGCTCGGCTTTAATCATCCCGTGGAAATGCTCTGTGAGACGATTTTCTGAAAGATTTTCTTTTTTCCTTTCATCTGATGAGAGAGCGGCGCAGAGAGAGATGCAGAGGTGCTTTTCGGCCTCTGAAACAGTGACGCAAAAAGCGCGGCTGCAGACTGAGATTTTTCATTAGGCCGCATGTCACTTTCGAAGGAGCTTTCTTCAGGTCCTTTTGAAATATTTACGTTTCCCAATTTTTGTAAGCCTGCAAATGGCAAGATGCATTTTTCTTTCAGCTATATTAATTGGACGAAGCTTCAAACTTCCAACTGATCCGAAAAGAGTTCTTTTGCAGGTTCAACATGACAATTCAAAAGAGAAATAAGAGAACATTTCTTTATTTTTCTATTATATCTTTTCAGCAGTGGGTGAAAAATC